GAACCATTAGAATCTAGAATTGTTCTAGACACCTGTCTGTGCGGCCTGAAGGTGTACTGCAGCCCTCTATCTAAAACTGTGTGACTCTTGTTTCTTTTATTAGAGCAGTATATATATATATATACTCTTCTCCAGTATATAATCATTCTCTCTTCATCACTGAATTGCTAGTTGACACTAATGATTATAGAACCTGTAATGCAAATACCTGCAGACAGATTTGCAGCCACGGAGTAGCGGTAACTTTGTTTTGTTTCAAAATTCTTGCGGGCTCCTGCAGGGGATCCCTGCCTGCATTGAACCATCATCGGACAATCACTGGTTTTACAGGAGGACATTGTCCCCAGCAATAGTTTGTGGCAGTCCACTATTTCCAGGCATGTACAGCACCAGAAAATCTATGCAGGGCATGTGAGTGTCCGTGTGCTGCTGTCTTGAGGTCTGCAGTAAGGCAGGTTCACCAGTCCTGCCCCAAGCACCACTGTCAGCAGGTGCTGCTTGAGCCACCAGTGCTGCCTCACCCACTTCGTACTCTGATCCAAGGCCTGTTGATGGCAACAAGGTCTTATCCAGGGACCTGGCTCTGGAGCCTCTCCTTAGACATGGAAATTTCTTGTGGTGCAAAGTATCAGTCTTTCATGCGAGTCTGCCTAATTTCTAGCAGTAGGCAGAGGAGCAACCAGCTGAGAGTAGAACTGATAACAAAGTCTTGGTACTTATTACAACTATTGATTATCTTCTCCACGATAATGTATTTCTCAATTAACTTCTTCTACACCTTCTTGTTTAAACACTCTTGCCCATTTCTCCCTTTCACGCCTTATTGTATCTTCTGTTTTCTGTGTAACAAGGAAAGTAGAAATATGCAGAAGGAATAAGTAATAAAGGAAGAAACAAATATACAAGTAAATTAAAGAAATGAGAGATCTTGAAAATCTTATTCCTTTGTTACTACAAACAGTACAATATTTGAGCTGGTTCACTTTATTTTAGCCTTTCAAAACAGTATTTTTATCTAACAAAAATTTTTCACTTATAAAAAATGTATAAATCTTGTTGAAATGTTTCATTTTTTCCTATCAGAAACTTGTGCTTTCCTTTTCTCTCAAACATTATATTATGAATTATTTACGTAGTTGCTGAAGGGCATTTTAGCTGAAATTTAACATCATCAGAACTTCTGAAGCTCTAACTTAACAACAATTTATAGTGTTTTAAAATCAATTCTATCCAAAATGGAACACTTGGGAAGTGAACACCATTCCAGCACACTATTGTTGAACAATTTCCAGTGTTTCTCACTGAACCCTGTTAGATACCAAGTTTTCTACCCATCTCCAAAAGGCTGAACTAAATTAAACAGCCTTTTTTAGTGCCAGGAAAAGCTGTCCAAAAACAATTGACAAGTCTTTTCTATTTTCTTCAGGAGTGCAACTATTAAATTTGACTGCCAATTATTTAGATACCTCATCAGTGAATTTGTTACAATCCTAATTTGTGTTACTCTTTACAACCCCAGGCTACAGATCATATGCCAAAATGTTAATCTCCATGTATTAATCTCTCATGCAAAGAAATTAAACTGGCATTTAAACGCATCCTCATCTGGGGGCTTATTTGTCTGCCTGTAATTGCTGGCAGTGGCTCCTCTTCTCCAGGGAAGGAGGAGTGAGGACTGTCTGTAGACTGAAGTTGTTCAATGTTCATTTTCCTGCTTTGGAGGAACAGAGCTGCTGTCTGTGAGATCAGCAAAAATTAATTTTATAGTTGCATCTTTTGCTTTTTATAATGTAATGTTCCAATCATAGTTAAAGTGTTATGCTTTTTCTAACCCTTTGAGAACCGCCTTGGAAATACTTTGTAATAATAACCCACCATTTGAGAGCAAATCACAAGGGAAGCTGTAAAACACAGAGAGAGTAGCAAAAATCTGTTGTGTGGACATTTTTTGCTGTTCGAGACTGACAAGCAGACTGGCTAGTTTGTACAGTGGTTGGTGATGTGTTCCCACTTGACTCACTAGTCCTTTTGTCTTTGCATGTTGAACTGATGCAAATATATCTTCTGTTTCTTAGGAGAGCACTCATCTCAGGGGAAGAATAAAACTCGGCAACTCTTCACACCTCAGCAATAAATATGTAAGTTTATTGCCTTTGTCTTATGTCCCCTAAAATTAGTGTTTGTTAGTCTCAGAGTTGTGCCATGTAACTAAACAAAAGGGTTAAAAATGCCAAACAAAAAAAAAGCAATTACTTCAGCTAGCAGCAGCCTCCAGGAGCAATGGCTTAAACAGAGCTTGTCTTGAACACACCATCAAGAACAGTGTCCCAGGCAAATGGGGGGACTGAAGAAGTTGCCACATTACAGAGGTAGACCTTTATAAGCGTGGTATTTCACTTTAATTGTTCAGCACTCCTGGTTGTATTTTCACTCCCTAGGTGTATTTTCTTTACCGAAAACACAGAGGTGGTTCTGCTTGTGCAGATGCAGGACAATGTCTGGGACAATGGATTTACTCCTTATTGTCTGTCCCATATTAGATTTACTCTATGTTGAACATTTCAGCTTACTCTTATGTTTCTGAACAGCCTCACCTGAAATAATAATAATAATCTTCAGATACTGTTGTCTTTTCAGGTGTGAAGCAACCAGTTTTATCACAATATGTGGGAAGATTCTACCAAAGTTGCAGTTCCACAGGAAATGTGGAGCAACAGAAGCTTTTTACCTGGCAGAACACTTGTGTTAATGACCAGCTCTTGACTTCTAAATCTCAGGTGTCTCCTGTCCCTTCTGGAATGACTCATAATGTTTTGATGGCTTAATAACTGGTATATCATATGTATTTATTATTTTCACATATAGTAAAAGCAGGAAAACTTTCAAGAAGGTTAAAGAGAATGTAAAAATCAGGTGGTGTTTGCATAGTAGTTACTAAGAACACTTTCTGCCCATACAGGAGGGAATATGTCAGCATAGTTTGTTAAACTGAAGGTGGATAGGGTTTTCTTTTAATTGTATGTAGCAAAACACAAACAGGGCCTAACCCCTGAAACAGTACTGGGCAAATTGCCACTCTGAGAATTAATTCAGTGATTTCCTTGAGGCTCCTCATTGTAGCACACACTTTGCTTGTCATAAATGTTTACAGGATGGGATGCCTGGGTGAAATGCTGGTGTGTGTGCTGTTTTCTGTGAAGGGAGGAATATACCTTGCACTGAGGCTCTTTGAAGTTCTGTAAATTACTAAGTATGATCCTTGTAATGCAGCAGGCAACATAGTTTATTTTCACCTGTTCCTTGGCTAATTGCATTACATGGGCTTTAACATGTATCCTATAATAGCCTGGGGAGCACAGGGCAGGCCAGCAAGATAAGCAGTTTTACAGATTAACCTTCTTCCCTCTGTTCTGAGTAATGCATGGGATTCCTGTGGGTTATTGGAGAACCCTACAAGTTTAAAGAGTGCTTCAAGTGCGAATTACAGAGTCTCTTTAATTTGTACAGAGCTGGCAATTCAAAAATATCATGTAGTGCTTCTACCTGCATGTATCCTACTTTTCTAGAACTATAAATGTTTGAAAGTTGTATTACTCTGAGCATCTGCTCAGTCTCAATCCACTGACTCTGGTAGCATGCCAAGAACCTCCATTGTTTTATTGGCAAAAGGGAATAAGACAGCTGGTGGTGCATGTGGAGGACAAAGAGCCAAGATGATCATCTAAGTTTTGAGACCTGTTGACACCATGTTTTTGAGGAACTTCTTTCTCCACTTTCCCTCTCTGAAATAATATAACGTACTGAGCAGCATGGTAAGGGATTGAACGGATTAGTTCATGGTTATACACAAAGCTAAAAAGTGTTAATTTCCCTGTGCTTGACAGTTACTCATTTCTTAGAGGCATCAAGAGAAACTTTCGATGAAGCTCTGTAAAAAATAGGGAACCACTAAGTGTCCTCCATGCTGCAGCTGAACTTATATGGTTCACTCAGGTATTCCTGGATCACTTGGGTAGCTCAGGAGCAGAGGAGTCTTGGATGCCTACTTCAGAAATGTCAGGCATCATACAGTAGTGGGTATCTGCAAGTATTAGATTCCTGGTTGCCAAAGATTCCTGTGAATAAAGCAATCATTGCAGATTTCCATGTGGTTAAAAAAAAAAAAAAAAAAAAAAAAAAAGTATTTTGTAGCATGTTGCATCATACCAAAAGGACAGTAGAAAAAAGTAGAGAAATATTGTGAAATATATATATAGTGCTAAATTTGTTCAGAAACTACCATATTGTGTCAAGAAAAAAAAAACCAACAAAAAAACCACAAAAAAACCCTGCCTATTAAAAGTTATTCTCTTTATTAAGCTGCTCTGATTTTCTCTCTGCAGAAGTGCACTTCTTTACCATATCTGTACCACAGGGTGAGCTGGACTCTTTACAAAAGTGAGCCTAGAGAGCAGACATTAGATATTCTGGGCATAATGGTGGCAGGAGGAGCATGAAGGCATGCTGGGGTGGCAAGTGGAGTACAGAAAACTCCTCATTACAAGATTTCATGAGAAAAAAGCAGAGTTCACTACAAATCTTGCTACGGGAAAAGAAAACCACCAAAACAGGGGAAGATGTTTGGGCTTTTTATCATAAGGGGCATGACGGACAACGAAGCTCTCTTAAGAAGGCTTGGAAATGTATCTCAAAGTGACAGGTTTGTGTGTGTGAAGCAAAAGAGATGCTTTATTGGAGAGCAAAAATGAAAAACATGATCCTCTTAACCGTGGGGCAGCAGACCTTGTGTGAAGGGAAATGTGTGAATGTCCCCCATCCTTGAGGAGGGTCAGGAGAGAACTGATGTTTACATGAAGGATAGAAGGCAGATTAGATTGAAGGATATCTGTAAAACACAGAAAAGATTTGGAAGAATGTTTGGGGCTCTTTCTTCTGCAAAGCTGGAGATGCTGGAATTGGCTTAATGGGAGGTAATGAACTGACAACAGAGAGAACTCAGTTATTAAAGAAGATAGTTTACATGCAATGGCTCAGGTAGATGAAAAAGAAATGAAAAATCAATTCCAGTTGTCCAGCTCAACAGAAGCAAGTCTAAAAGATCCTCTCAAGTTTTTCTAGTCACTAGCATTGCCAAAAAAAGCCCGAAAGTAAGATTTGGTCCTCCAAATGTGAAGCTTGTCTATATGAGGGTACTTAGGAAAGCAGACCTACATTTGTAAAACTTAAATTGAGTGTTCCTCAGCTTCTGTGTCATCATTTGCTACAGAAGTGAATGACATCCACTTAGTGTGGAATGAGCATGCCCACATGAATGTGATTGAAATGGATCCATTTTCAAATTAGTTTAATTCATGAGTTACTGCTTAACAAGTTTTTAGGTAAAGGTCATGATTCTGATCTACAATCCAAGACTAAAGAACATAACTGGCTGGCAGAGACTTTGGGGTATTGTTAGTTACTGTCAGTAAACCCTGTGGGGCTCAGGATTGCCAGGAGAATGGTGTTTTCAGCACTGTTCATCTCAATCTCAACTTGGGAAGGTGAGTCACTCTCTTAAAGGATAGAAGAGTTTCTCTGGGCACTTTCCAAAGTCCTAACCCTGTTCAGTTAAAAGACTTGAAGTATTCTGGGAGTGACCAGCTGCAGCAGACTGGGATTTGGATCCAGTCCCAAACAAGACAGGTGGGTGCTAAAGAAAAACAAGCAAACAAAAACTAAGTTGTGTGACAGTGTGTTGACTATTGGCTTTCTACTCTAAGATGCTGTATTTGAGCACGTAAGAAAACAAACACCAGAAAGAAAAATAATTTTATAACTATTTACAGGAAAAAAGGTCTAGAAATGAGAAAAGAGCATAGAAAAATGAAAATAATTATTTCTATAAAGTAAGGGCTGAAGAGGTAAGCATTGGGTACTTTTTAAATTCCCACAAGCAGCTTATTAGCCTTCTAAGTACTTAAATAATTATTTTGTATGTTTGGTGAGGGCCTCCTGTGGGCTGCTCATGAAAAGGTAAGACTTTTGTTCATTATTCTGCTTATGAGTTCACAGGAATCACTCTGGCCCAGGGTCTGTGGGCAAGACTATTTACAGGCTGGGTATGGCCTCACTTAGAAAGGTGCCTCAATAAAAAGATATTCCTTGGGGACCATCTGTTTGGTGTGGGAAAGCTGTACCACCTGCTGGTGAGGCTGCATTGTCCCCATACTTCATCCTCCAAAACACCCAAAGACTTTGGTGGTTTTGGAGCAACTGCACCCCACTGACAAGGGGTGAACCATTTTGGCAGACTCAGGAAAGGGCATAAAGCAGCAACATCTGGCAGGCTGGGGCTGGAGAGGGTGTCTGCAGCATCTCTGGGCTGCCTTGGTTGCCAGCAGCTCTCTGCTGAAC